TGTCCCGGCTCGACAAGCGGTTAAAGCTCGGTAAATTTCTGCGAGAATCATCGGTATGATAGTACTATTGGCCTTTTTGACCATAAAGTCGGCCACTCCTGCGAGCCCCAATTCTCTATATCTATTACTCCTTGGGCATATGAGAGTGCCTAAAAATGCCACCACAAAGGCCAAACCCTTACGTGCTTCCCATTTGTCTTTATTTCCCTGATGATTCAAACCAGTGTCCGGAGCCTCAAATCTGTGGGGGTCCCCATACCGGCTGTATAAGAATCGAAATGTGCAGAATCCTCCGGCTAAATTTTCATCTTTAACCTGCCGGCTAATACTCAAGAGGTCCAAAAACTTATGAGGGGTTACAGTTCTTGGTGCTACTGGATATTGATGCCTTAGCTTCCCTTCGAAACCATCATAACCTGCTATTTTCTCTAGTGTAGGGGTCAACTCGAAATCAGAGAAGTGGAAAACATTGTGTGTCGGGTCCCAAAACGGTATCAAAGCTTCGATTATATCAACCCTTGGTTTAATTTCCAGAAGACCAGTAAGCCCACCTAAAGCCTTTATCACAGAACGCTTGCTGACCTCCCCAGGTCGTTCCACCACATATGGAGTCCTAGTGGAATCTCGTCTACGACTCGAAAAGGTGTATTTTCAACAGTGCTCATCCTGCACATTTTATTTAAGGCGACTGGTTAAAAACAAGTGATTTTTAATTTTTTTAAATTATTTTTGACCCCAAAAGAAAGATTATTTGTGCAAAATAAAACTCAAACAACTCAAGGCCACCTTTGCAAATACGGCCCTTCAGCCCTTCAGAAATGAAGATTTTAAAGTTGTGCTTGCTAAGTGGCCAAAATTAGGAAAAGAGCCATAGGTGGCTATTCTGGTAAAACAAACTTCCTGCGTCCCGTCGGGACGTTTCTGGCTATTTGGACAGAAAGTGACATCCCCTAAATTTATTTATGACAAAATGACGCATTTTCATATTTTTTGGTTATTTTTGCAAAAATGGGGCCGGACCCGATGAGGGTTGCCTACATATCTCACATCCGGTGAGAATCAAACCCGCATAGTTCGGTCCATCTTGATGCACAGAAAGATATGATTTGTTTTGAAATAATTTTTTTTTTGAAACTTTGGCAGAATAACGGGATTTTTGAATATCGAGATTATCAAAATCGGGCATTTTTCTATCCTACCTCACTCTTGTTTTTTTTTTTAAAAATTTTTTCTTAATTTTTTTTCCTTACTCTAGAAGCCGGTCAACATACAAGCCAAGAAAATTAATGCACAAGTAGCACGTAAAGAATGCATCAGGATGGTCTTTTGATTTTCGGGTGCACCTATCCTAGACGGACTCAACCCATGTGTTGAGTCCCCTAAGTCAAATGCACGTGATGCAAGCAAACATACCTACTAGGGATCCGGCATGAGGCTGTGTTATTCTATGTTTTAAATCCTGGGTGTATTGTTCTAGACCTGGCTTACCCGAGCAGACAACTCGAGCCGGGGGGGGAGGGGGGAGGGGGCAGCGTACCGGGAATACAGAAGCTTCACCGGATTTGCAACTTGTCCGAACCTCGTTCTAAAATTAGGATATGACTCTAACAGAAAAGAAGCCACGCGAAGCGCATGCTCCCCATAAGATTTAGAAGACTCAGAGAGAAGGAGGGTTTCGTAGCAGTTTATATATAGTTCAAACAATATCAAAGCGGTAAAAAGCGGCATTTAGCATATTAGGCTCAAACACGTAAAAATCAGATAATAGACAAAAATCAAGTATAACAGTTATTCTAAGCTCGAATTCTGAACCCTGAACCAGAGATTCTGGGTTCGGTCCCCAGCAGAGTCGCTAGAGCGGTCACACCTCCTTTTCCCCGAGGGGGGATAGGGGATAGGGGATAGGGGAGTTTTTTCAATTAAAGTGACAATATTCAAAATGGGATTATTTATTTGATCAGAGTCGCCACTTAGAATAATTTATGGTGTCCCAAGTCACCGGTTTATTTTAAATCCCAAATCGAGGAAATTTGACTCTATTTATGGTCTACGAACACAGAAGACCGGGTAAGAAATTTCGTTAACCCGGGAGAAGGTGTGAGGCACTCCCGAATTCCGTGGTTTTAGAACGGTCGCTCAACTATTAATAATTGGCCTAATTATCTAATTAATACAAATTTATAACCTATTATGCATTTTAACTTTTTAACCGCTTTTAATTATTTATGGAGTTTATTTGAATAAGCCGCGATGTCGCGCACTCATTTATTTTTGTATACATTACGAATCGCGCCACGTGAAATGCACCCGCGATTTACAACGTGTTAATTTTATTATTAACATTTAAAGTTATGGTCGAGTCACGTGAAACACACACTCGAATTAGGGATTACGTATTGTGACTATGCCACGAGAACCGTACCCATAGCCACGATGATTTATTAATCGCGCCTAAAGCAAGCTACGATATGAATTAGTTATGGAGTTATTGTGGAAAAGTATTATCACATAACTATTGTTGCCTACACCTTGACATGTTTTCTTCCAAAATTTAAAGCAATCTCTACGTCCTCCAGAATTGACAGACAAAGGTACAAAACCCAAAACCAATTCCTAGTAACATCACGTTAACAACCAAAATTCTACGATCTGCTCTCAACTAATTTTATAACAGCTCAATTGCCTTGAGATTAATATTTCTATAGTACTAATTAAGGCATGAACAATTGGATCCAAAGTATTGACTAAAAATGACATTCTTTCCCTAGTTAAGCGTGAAAAAACGTTCAGATACACTAAATCCATTTATAAGTTAATAACACCATTTAAAGTTATACACCATTCTAATCACGTGTCTTTCAGCTACTATAATTTACCTGTACAGTTCAATTCTCACACAAGAAAGAAGAGTCCACATTATAAATATTTAGATCAATTAAAGATAAAAAGGTCAAAATACGTAGAATGCTCAACAACTTAAAATTTAAAGGTGTTTGGTGGATTAAAGCATACAAGGTTATTTACTTTGACTTAGAATTAAACTAAGAATCAAATCCTCAGAATTAAACCAAGTTATTCATCAAACAGCAAGAAAAACATATCATATGAAACAGAACTGAAAATTCAGATCTTCAAATTAATATCTTAACGGAAGCATACAAAGTTATAGCTACATACCAAAAAACAGCAAGGAGAGACCAAATATGGAACTCGGCAAGCAACTTCCAGCCGAGAAAGGGCAGAATTTCTGCAAGGCGAAAGAAATAGCTGAATTGAGACAAATCAAGGCTAGCAAAACAGTGAAGACGAAGCTCAGCAAGAAATTCCAGCAAACAGCAGCTGATTTCGAACTTAATAGCTTTTGAAAAAAAAAAACAGAAAAATATTCAAGCTTCACCAATCCACAATAATCGATTCAGCTTTAGTTCTCCTTGAAATTCACTCTTTTCTTTTGTTTTTATTTCAAAATTTTGCATCTCAGATCTCGAATTCAAACCTTTTAATTCATTATTTTGTTTTTGTTTTTCTCAATCGGCTTCAGATCTGTGGGAATTGTATTACTAGGGGTGTGTATGTGGGTGAATGAAAATAGAGGCGTGAATTACATGAGTAAGAATCGTGTGTCTATATGTGTGAAGAAGAGGCAGCTAGGTTTTTTTTTTTTAAGGGGATGGGGTTCTGTCCCTGTTCTCTTTTCACTTGTCTGTCCCCTCTTTTCAAAAATGAGAAAAGAATTGGGTAATTAAGGGAGAATTTAGGGCAAGCTTGTGGAAAAACTGGGCCACCGAATTTGCTTGGCCCAATTCTAAAAGATGTGCACCAACAACCCTTTCTTTCCTTCTCATCTTTCTTTATTAGACATTTTTGCAAAATTAACCACTATGGACTCAAATTTTAATTAAAACTAATTTGTGTGGCTAAAATATTTATATATTTCACTCATTAATTGACTAATGACCTAATTAATTAACTAGCCTAAAAATGCATATAGAGTTACTAATGTATTTTTTGGTATTTTAGTGTTTTACAAATGCAATTGATTATGCATTTAAAATCTAAAAAATGTAAAAATAAAAATATTTTTGTATTTTCTTTAGGATTTAAAATGCAACTTAAAAATGCATCAAACATGAATACGTACAAAGCAAACTAAGTAAAAATATAAAAAAATAATTTAAAGCTATATATATATTTTTGGATTTTTTAGGAGTAATTTTATATTAAGGCAAAAATTAGGTGTTCACAGTAAGTGATTCTAAACCATTTTCTTTTAATTACCCATTACATTTCTTGAATTTTCAACCTAAAATCTAGAGTTTTCATGGTAGAGTTAGGGGTTAGGGTAGAAACTAGGGATTTCGAAAATTTGGGGATTTAGACCTCAATTTGAGGTCGGATTCCAAAACTAATTACATATTTGGGCTCGGGGGTGAATGGGTAAAAGGATTTTGGTCCGAACCTCGGGTTTTGACCAAGCGGGCCCGGGGTCTATTTTTCGACTTTTTGGAGGGAAAATTGGAGAATTTAATTTATGCAATATAATTGATTCCTTTAGCAATATTTGATATTATTGAGTCATTTTTAATAGATACGAGTGGTTTGGAGGTGAATTCCAAAGGAAAAGCTATAATTGAGAATTAAGTGGCCTTTAGAGCCAGGTAAGTGTTGTATCTAACCCTGACTTGAGGGAATTAGGAACCTTAGGTTACTTGCTAAATGAAATTCATGTGAGCGGCGTATATGTGAGGTGATGAGTACTTATGCGCCGCCAAATTTACATGTTTTTCATGCTTCTCTGTTTTTCTGTTTTTCTTATATTGTCTCATTTCTATGCATAATTGCGATGTGTTATACTAGTGTTGTTCAATTTATCGTTCTTATCATGTTTACGGATTTTCTGGTGATAATTTAGTTTTTCTTTCAAAGTTGAGATTGATGTTATGGTACCAAATGTTGAGGTAAGATTTGTACTCGCTATTCTATCTCCCTGTTGATATTTATGCATTGCATTGTGGTAAGGGAGAGTGTTAATGCACGAAGGGTGATGTCGTGCCATATTGTGAGTGTTAATGCACGAAGGGTGATG